TCACAATTTTGGTGTATAGAGTTTGTGTGCATCCGTCTAAATTCAGTTAAAGGGATTTATTACAAAACCATTAATGCATCAATAAAGAAGAAACGAGACATGTCTGCGAATTTGTTTAGAGATTTTATTTTTGAATGTTCTAGCATGAATACTAAAAGTTAATTTAAATAGTTTGCGAACTACTGTAAAACAACGTTCATAAATTAAGCAATTATATATAGCAATAACTCTTTAATTTAAAAAATTTGTATTTAAGTCACTTTTTGAAGTTTGAACGTCAGGTTTTTGTTAAAATTAAATTGTGCCAAAATTTACGCTCCAAATAAATACAAATTTAGAAAATTTAAGCTTAGATCATTCTAAAGCACTCTAGCATTGTAGTACCGATACTATAATACGACTATTTGGTATAGGAGTTCCTGATTGAAAAGCCCCATTCTACTTCACGCTAATATGAACCAAATTACCCCTCGTAAAAGAATAAACTAAAAACTAAAGTTCGAATTAAAACTTTTTTTATAACGGAATTTTTAAGCATTCCAAAAAAATATGGTTCACAAGTTTTCTTGGTACAAGGTGAATGTCTAGTACAAATGTTTTAAATTACTGGTATCATGGCAGCGACAGTTTTTTAAAAAAATGGATTGATACAATAAAGTTAAACGACGAGAACAGTTTAGAGTTTAGGAAAACTGAGTGCTTGGGGAAGATAGAAATATGGCAGATTAAATTGCATTTAACAGAAATGTACCTAAAACATTTTGCTAGAAATTTTGAAATTTTGCGCAGAGGGCTTAAAAAGTAAATCTTCGTAAGAAAATTAAGACTAAAACTTTCTCGAATACCTTAAATTCCAGCAAAAGTTTTTTTAAATATTAAAGCCAAAATCTAATTTTTTTAAGCTAGTATTTATATCAATCATAAACTTTTACATAGTTAATTTACTTTTCAAAAACAAGAGAAATTATTATAGATGAAATCTGTATTAGTATCAATCTGTACATCTTACAGATAACAAGGAAATTTGCAATGAAAAGCACCGAAGATACGAGACCAGTCAATAGAACATAAATAAATGTTGAAGACCTGAACGCTGCAATTATGACAGCCATGTAGCAGATAAATCGCCATGTAGTTTATCGTAGAAGAAATACATGAAACCAGTAGTTCCTATCTGCCATTCTGAAAACAAAAATATTTGTTACTTCCTAAGCAAGGAAAAAATGCTAAATCCTTAAAATTAGTGATCTAAACTCAAAAAATTGCGGCTACGACATTATATTTAGGTGTAGTGAAGCGCCATACATACTTCTATTGATCTAGATGTTTCCGTACATCAATAATACTCTTTTACACCACTTTCAGTAAAGTTTGTCATTTGTAGCTGTTTTACTAAAATTTGTAATTTCCATAAGAGGACGCCATGTCGCGGAATAAAATTTTACTTATTACGATACAGCAATAGTCATTCATTTAGGATGTACGTATTCAATATTTCTTAAAATTCGTTAAGGAAACACAACATTCAGAAGGCTTGAATCCAAAGCAAATAGAAATAGAATTATTTCTTTTACAGATTTATCTAAATTTTCTGAGAAAATTTAGATATAACTAGAAACAAACTTGTTTTTGTGGAATGTTTAACAAAGTGGAAATCGAACTTCTTTTAAACAAAAAATGTCAATTATTTGAGAATTTAAAAACTTACGACAAGATTTGTGAAAATATTCCTGAAAATATTCCTGACTGGAATGAGTTTGGTGACATCATTTATTTATTTCAAATTACATCTTTTAACATTTATGTGAAATCGCGATTTGGTATTAACTAGAAATAACACAATTTTAAGAATTTTTCATCATATTCGGGTAGATATTACACGAGTGTTTACAGTAAAAGAAAGGATTTTGCACATAAAACAAATCTTGAAAAATAGAAATAGATGTGGAAATTCTAATTGAAAATTTCTTAAAATTTAATTCAACACTCCGTGTTATATGTTAACAAATTTACTGATTTTTGCACCATTTATATTTAATAATTAAAAATATTTAGATCAGGGTTGACAAGATTTCACACAGAATTACACAAGGTAAAAGGAGTTTTTTCTCGTCCAAAACACTTCCGTCTAAAACTAAATTACAAAATATCAATTAAGCATTATGTTCCGTATTTGTAAGTTACGCTCTTGGCGTTCGAGCATCTCCCCATGGCACACTGTAAATACGCCAACTTGGCAAGCTGTCTATGTTTGTACGCCACAGTCTACCTACACCCGAAAGGAAAACTCAAATAAACTCCTTTTATACAAACGCTTTCTCTTTATTTTTATGCCACCCCTCCGCACATTTTGGTCCTAAGCGACCCGGAGGTGATCCAGAACCTATGGAATACTGAAGAAACGCTTTAGATTGAATTTAATAAAATCCCGCTAAAATATGGCAAATATCATGGCCTTAAACCGCAAGCGTGGCAGCATAAAAAGCCAGCTTACGAAACTAAATGTCCTCACAGAAGGACAAGACAATATGGACATTTCTGAGCTCCAGGCTCAATTGGATATTGTGCTTAGTATCCAACAGAAATTCGAAACGCTGAAAAGATGACTACTACAAAATCGCAGAGGAAGATTTCCAGAATGTCGAGGCCTCTCTCTTCGAAATGGATGACAACATTCAAAAATTAGAGGTAAGCCTCAAAACCTCTATTAGTAAATCAAAAACTATAAACATTGTGCAAAATCAAAGTGTTGATAATTCTATTATCAGTGATCAGCCTAAAAAGGCGTTAATTAAACTCCCGAAAATCCCACTTCCTTTTTTCAACGGAAAATTAGAGGAATGGAACTTGTTCAAAACGCAATTCAATAGCCTAATTAGTGAGAATCCGGAAATTTCGGAAAACGAAAAACTGTATTACCTACGAGGATCCTTAAGGGGTGAAGCGAAGGTAGTAGAAACGTCAGACGATAATTTTGGATCATTATATAAAGCCTTAGAACAACGATATGAAAATAAAAGACTTGTAGTTGATTGCCACATCAAAAACATACTTAAAATCCAACCTATTAAACAAGAATCTGCCAGAGAACTTCGTAATATTTTGGACAATATCAAGAAAAATCTTAGATCATTAAAAATACTAGATTTCAATAGAGACAAACTTTCTAATGTTTTTTTTTTATTAAATATCATTCTAGATAAATTAGATCGCGAAACTCGTAAACAATTTGAATTGTCTCTTAAAGATAATGAAGTTCCTGATTTTGACACATTTTTAGAAAGAAGATACCAAATATTAAATAGTATTAATGCGAACACATTATAAGCGAGATTTCTGTCTTAAGCTTTAAAATGGCTCTGGGTATAAAGCGTTAGCCTATAAATATGATTCCAACTTTATATCGTATAGCAGGGGTGGCCAACCTGCGGCTCGCGAGCCACATGCGGCTCTTTGAAGGATTATTTGTTGCTCTCGATAAATGTACCGTAGTACCCTTCTCATTTTTGTGCTATTATATTTTAATATTTTTCTGAATATTTTCATTTGTATAGGTGAGTTCTCCATTTCCAATATAATTATGAACCCAAAAGCATCTGAAGAATTAGAACTAATAAAGATGCAAGATGATAGAGCTCTACAATTAAAATATAAAACGACCAGAATCGAAGTATCCAGAATTTAAAAAAAAAGACTGTCTAATTATTTCAATATTCGGAACAATGTACTTAAGTTAATCAATTTATTCCACTTTAAAATTCGTGAAATCCAAACACCGAACAGTATTAATTAACCAGCATCTCGAAGAATTACTGAGAAGTGCTGTCACCAATTATTCACCAAATTTTGAAGAATTATCAAAAGTAGTAAAATAAATGTGTTTATAATTTTTAAATTCAACACGTATATTTTGTACTTTTATACATATGTTTTCAATAAGTATAATTTCAGCAGAAAAAATTTTTAATACCTTTTTTTGCATACCTTTTAAATACGTATTTAATCGCAGCTCGCGAAAAATTTTAAATTTTGAAAAATGGCTCTACTATCAAGGAGCTTGGCCACCTCTGTTGTATAGTGTAAAGTTAACTATGCTGACTCTTGTGTACCTTATGGACTGTAATTATAAGTTATGTTGTTACTACATTTTTAAAAAATATGGCGTCTACTTTACACCAAGTTCTTGGTTCTCAGCCGTGGGGGTTTAAGGGCTAGCCTTCCAATGTGGTGAACCGGACCCGAATCCATTAATGGCTGGTTGACAGTAATTTCGTTCCAAATATGCCCCAACCACAGCGCTGATGCAAAATATCCTCAGTGGTAGACAGATCATGTGTTACAGTCACCTTGCCCTCAGGCTAACCGTGGAAGGTTATTTTGGTCTTCCTCTCCATGTAACGCAAATGCGGGTTAGTTCCATCAAAAAGTCCTCTACGAAGGCAAATACCCCCCCCCCCAATACTTGATCCAAAAGTTCCCTTGTCTTCTAGATTCGATCCAAAATTAAAAGGCTGCGTAGTTGAACATTACTAGTAGTAAACCCAAAAATTGGGTCTGCTGTTCAATGACAGTTACAGTATAAAATTAAAATAAGCTTTAAAATTTTTCATGAACTACTAAATGTGGGAGTCTTAAGCATATTCAATAGAAACTAATTCAAAAAGAGTTTTATTATTTGTTCACCTTAACTAGATTCTTATCCTCAAGGTGAAGCATTCGTGTGAATATTTCGTAAATATTTAATATTTCAATATAATATTCTTTTATGTAATAAATTTTATATATATTTGTCACTGGTCAATATTTTAATATCACAGAACCAAATATGAACACATAAAATTTTATAAACTTAACTTTAAAAGAACGTCTAACTGTGGAATCACCCTTTCGAAACTAATTTAGTTTTAATTTCCAAAAACCTTTCGGGCACGTTAAAAACTATTTCCTGACCAATTAGTAAACAAATCTTAAAATTGAATAAGTGAATTATTCAACGTTTGTGATTCAATAATCACCCAAACTGTGTTTAAATAATTACTAACCATTTGATATACAAACATAAATCATTATTTTCGTATAAACTAATACACAAGTCAATCTATCAATGGCAAATTTTAAAAGCCAAACTGAAAAAAAAAAACTTTAAACTTATTTTTAAAAAATTTTAAAATTCTAATAATTTAGACATAATGAAAAAGAAATAAACTATGCTGCCAGTTCATAGAAAGTTGAACAATTCGTCAAATTATAGACTTCTCAACTTAGCAAAAATATTTTAAAGTTTGGGTTGAGACTGAAATTTACCAGTACTATTTGCAAATTAAAGGAGAATGCAGATTAATTGTCTGGAGTTTAAATTTATGAATGTTTATAAGCTAGATAGAGGATTTTGAAAATTTTTTCAAAAGGATTCCTTTAAATAATTTTAAATTTAGAACGAATAACTAAGTTCTAGATGCGACTATCAGCACCTTATTTCTATGCCTCCTAAATTATCAAGATGAAACTTTATAAATTTAATTTATACGAATTTCTTCACTATTTCGAGTAATAGAATCTATGTACTATTCACAAACAATTAAATTTAACGATCTCAAATATTTATGGGCCAATAATTTATAATCTTTATAAAAGTATTTTCAGATAATACTTAACGTTATTTAACTTTTTATAACTGATAAGAAAATTTGTCATTTCAATTTTAATCACTTAAAATTTAAAGGCAGCTGATTTGCATAATTTTTTTATTTTTAGGAGTTTAAGAAAAAAAGATAACATTTATTTAAAAATAAGTATGACAGATCAGTTTTGCAAAATTTTAGGTTTTCGAAATAAATTTTTGGACGTTGTGGAACCTCTAAAAATTACGAACTACGCCCTAAAAATATTTTATGTAATTTATTATGAGTTAACAGTCACCTGAGCGAATTGTACAGTTTTTACTTTACGCAATTGAAGCAAATTACATTACTTTCCCCAAAGCAGAAAACTTTAAAATTAAAATACTCAAAATAAAATACTCAATTCCACTGCATCAGAAAATTAGATAAGGAAATCGGGTTTAAAAACATAGCAATCTTAATGTTAAATAAATTTGAAGTTAATATTCGGTATACCTCGTGTTAGATCTGAAGAGGCTTAAAAAGTAGACTCACTTCTCTATTATTTTTATATTTTGTCAAACAAGTCAGTCCAGATTGGTTAAAATTTAGATAAATTATAATTTAAAATGAATATAACGATTATAAACAGCTATAACTAATTAAAAATTACTTATCTATAAGATTAACATAGAATGTAGATCAGTGGTTACCAACTGGCGGCCCGCCAAGCGTTTTTGTGGCCCTTTAACTAAAATATTATTTGTCATTTTTGCCTACAATTTTCGTAAGAAATTTGTATGGGTTTACAGTACTTTTCTTTGTTAAAAAACCTAGTTTCTTCGTTTCTGTGAAATTTAACATGCCAACGGTGCAAAAAAAGATTTTTTAAATCAAAATCTACTTATTTTAATTTGTAATTAAATACTTTCGTTTTGTACAACTTGATAAAAATATGACAGTAATATTTAGTGTTCCTTTAAACATAAAATGAGTCCTATATAAAATTTTGATAAAGTTGCGGCCAGTCATTTGACTGATGTTTTTAATTACGGCCTTCGGCCTCATGTAAGGTGGAAACCCCTGATGTAGATGGGTGTAGATGGAATTTTTTTCACGTTTGAAAACGCAACGTCAACCTAGCTTTAAGGTTTTAATATAGAAGGCTGTTTTCCAAGGTTTTGGATTAGGGTAAATGAGCATAGAATAGAGTAGATTGTCTCAGATCTAGTTTTGAGGTTAGAAGGTTTACACGTAAACCGCATAACAAACCTTTTCAGGTTTACATTAAAAGGTTTTTGATGAGTGAAAAAAAACATTAATTTGATATTTCGGCTTAATTTTGAGTTACCCTGTATTTAACGTTTGCACTCTCTGAAAATTTTTAAGTGTTATAGTGACAGCCCTAATTCCTCAAACTGGAGAAAGAAGTTTATCATAAGAACGTAAAAAGGTATCCAGGGTAAAAATATAAGTTATGTAGGGAAAAAACTCACCCTTTTCTTTAAAAGCACTTTAGATGCATTTCCAGTCAAATATTTTCATTGTCTCGTCTCCAGATAAACCCAAACATCTAGCCGAATATTTTCACCATCATTATTGAAGTCGCATCTCCAGATATATTCTCCATAAAACCACTTCCATTTTCTATGTAACCTGGATGAAAATCTGTAAGAGATTGTGATATTACTTTAAAAAACTAAAATTAAAAATACTTAAGAACGTCTTAAAGAGAGATCAACATTTTTAACTGGTCAAAAGTTCGAGTCTTCTAAATCTATGTAATTAGTATAAAAATACAAAAATCAGAACTTTTCGAACATTTGAAAAACTAAATAAAAATTTGCACTAATATTAATCCTCAATAAAGTTTATTTTATATATGTATATATATTTTTTTAAGAAGTCCCAGCATTACCACCACAATTATTGCCAAAAAATTTTCAAATTGTTTCTTATTGTTGGCTTGCGTCGCACTAGAGCTGCACAATTTGCTATTGGCGACGGTCTGGGGAACATACCCGATTAGGATCCAAAGACATGCCATCTCCAATTTTTGGATGGCTCTGCTTCGGTAGCCAGGCGACCAGACGATTTAGAAGCTCCGTATGTGCTGTATACGAAACTAATGGTTGTTGGTTATTAATACTACTAAAACTTAGATTTAGGAATACTATTTTCTAACTATACTGCGATCACAGCAACAAGAGAAAATTTTTTAAAAAGTGAAATGAATTTTCCTTTCATAAAAAAAGCATTGAAGTAAATAAAATAAGACTAAAAATTTATATAAAATATTGATTCAGAGTAACAGATTAAAATATTTGGATATAAACAGTTTTAAGAAAAAAGTATTTTGCAAATAAATCATTTAACCTTACGTTTAAAAAAAAAAATCAAAAGTTAGAAAATAAGAAATTAATATCGATTTTCTCTTTAGAATTTTTGCAAAAACATTTTCGTATGGAATGATAAAATTTGAAAAAAAATTATCAATTTACTGAATTTTATGTTACAGTTTTGTAACTTATCTCAAACGCTTTCAAGGATTCTAAACATTAAGTATTACAGCTACTTCATATTATTAAATCCTGAAATACGATGTACATTTCAACGCTAGCAATTAATATTAGGATTAAATATTTCAAGCATAACAAAGCGTTTAGGTGAGTTCACCCTGGAAAACTAATAACAATAAAGTGCTACGTGTAACTATTTATTGACTACTTATTTTACACTTGAATTATTAGAAAACTAAACGGGAATACATTAAACCACTTTATAAGTATAAGCAAGCAAAATTTGGTAATACAAACTCCGTCTGGTTAATTTAAAAATTACAAGGCGCAATTATTGATACATTAAAATAAATAAGTAAACTTACTTAATAGAATCAAACTTCACAATTTCAGGGCCCACAAACTTCAACTCATAGACAAATTAATTAGTTACGTTTGTAACACCGAAAAATCGACACGAGGGCAATGAAAAAGTAAATAATGCACTCTTATATAGGTTAAAAAAACTGTGCGTGAAATTACTTCCGGCTGCTGGGTTTTGCTTAATTAGTGAAATTTCACGTCTACAGAGTCTCTTTATATAATAAATGTTATACATTTTTCAATGGTCAATATATTTTGAAAATATCGCAGAAACAAATATGAAAGCATAAAACTTTATAAATTTAAAAATGTAAGTATAGCTGCTGAATCACCCTTTCAAACCTAGCGTAGTTTTAATTTCCAAGAACCCTTCTGACACGTTAAGAAACTATTTACTGATCAATTAATCAACAAATTATAGAAATTGAATAAGTGAATTACTCACTTAACGTTAATCACCCTAACGGAATTTAAATAATTTTTTACTAACCATTTAATATACAAACATTAGAATTTATTATTTTGGTATAAACTAATACACAAGTAAATTTATCAATAGCAAATTTTACAAGTCAAACCGAAAAAAAGGGAACTTTAAACCTATTTAAAAATTCTAATAATTTAAACATAATGTAAAGGAAACAAAATTTGCTGCCAGTTCTTAGAAACTTAAACAATTTGTCAAATTAAAGACTTCTCAACTGAGCAAAAATATTTTAAAGTTTGGGTTGAGACTAAAATTTACCAGTGTTTGAAACTAAAGAAAAATGCCGATTAATTGTTTGGACTTTGGAATTTATTTTAATTGTATGGACTTAATGAATGTTTACAATCTAGATAAAGAGGATTTCGAAAATTGAAAATTTTGCTCAAGGATTTATTCAAATAATTTTAAATTTAGTACGAATAATTAAGTTCTAGATTGACTACTAGCACTTATGCCTCCTAAATTATTAAAACGAAACTTCATATAAATCTAATTTATACGAGATTTTTCATACTATTTAGAGTAATAGAAGCTGCGTAATATCCAAAAATTAAATTTAATGAACTGAAATATTTATTCGCCAATAATTCAGAATTTTTATTAAAGTATTTTTAGGTAATAGACTAGTACTTATCAGTTTTAAAAAGTCAAATAACGTTAAGATAATTCGCTCATTTTAATTTTAATCTTTTGCTTAAAATTTAAAGGTTACTGATGTGCACAATTCTTTTATTCTTAGGCTTTGGAAAAAACAAAATAACAGATTTTTGAAAAAATGTACGACAACTCAGTTTTGCAAAATTAGGTTTTTGAAATAAATTTTAGGACGCGCATGCGTGTGTTCATAAGTGGAAATAGAGAGTCCCGTGCAGAAAGTATTCCGAGTGTTAGAATTTGCCATTTAGTTATCANGATCAATAAAAAAATATATCACAACTATGATAATATGTATAATTAACTATGTTTTAGTTGAATTTATGAACTGTTACAATTGACCCCGTAAGTGGGGACAATTGTAACAAGTGCACGACTGTCAAAAATTGTTAATAACTAATATAATAATATTTAAAATCAGGTATTTAATTTTTTTTGTAGTAGAGGATAGTCTACTTTACTCGTCTGTCAATTAATACTAATAATATATTGGATTTTTTGTTAGTTAAAAATAGTTAAGTAAAAAATGTTACAATTGACCCCACTCTCCCCTACTTATCAGTTTTAAAAAGTCAAATAACGTTAAGAAAATTCGTTCATTTTAATCTTTTGCTTAAAATTTAAAGGTTACTGATGTGCATAATTCTCTTATTCTTAGGCGTTAGAAAAATAAAACAGATTTTTGAAAAATGTATGACAACTCAGTTTTGCAAAATTTTAGGTTTTTGAAATAAATTTTAGGACGCTGTGGAACCTCTAAAAATTAAGACTTAGGCCCCAAATATTTTAAATTTATTATGAGTTCACAGTCACCCGACCGAATTATGCAGTTTTTACTTTACGCAATTGAAACAAATTACATTAGTTCCTAAAGCAAAAAACTAAAGTTTATGATAAAAACAATACTCAAAATAAGATTCCACTGAATCAGAAAAAAACAATTGTACAAAGAAATCAGTTTCAAAAACATATTGCAATTATTAAATTAAATAAGTTGGAAGATTCACTACTTGCTTATTTTTATAATTTATTTTTTGTCAAACAAGTCAGCGTTGAGTGATTAAAATTTAGATATCTTATAGGATAATTCAAAGTAAATATAGTGATTACAAACAACTATAACTATTTAATCAAAAATAATTTATCGATATGGTTAACATAGAATGTGAAGTGACGCATAATCCTGTGCATGCGCGAGTTCATAAGTAAAAATAGAGTCCCGTGCAGAAAGTATTCTGGGTGTTAGAATTTGCCATTTAGATTTCACAGTGTAGAGGATATTTCGCCAGCATTACAATCAAGAACCTCCAAATGAAAATATACGCAGATGGCATAAGATGTTCGAAGAAACGGGAAGTTTGTGCAAAGGGAAAAATAGCGGAAGGCCACCTACCTCAGAATGTTTGACAAGAAAGGACTACCGCCTAGATGGGGTCTAGGTGACCAAGGGAAGTTGCATAGAAAAATCTGATGCATTTATGCAAAATGTTGAAATTCCTTCTAGATTTTGTGTAAATTTTATCTATACTTTTTCATTAAATAGTTATAGCCGTTTGTAATAGCTTATATTAATTTTGAACTACCCTATATTTAACGTTTGAAACCAGAAGATTATTAAGTGTTATAGTAACAACCCTAAATTCCTCAAACTGGGGAAATTTTATCATAAAAACGTAAAGATATCCACGGTTAAAATATAAGTTATGTAGGAAAAAAACTCACCCTTTTCTTCATATACACTTTAGATGTATATCCAGCCAAATATTTTTATTGTCTCGTCTCCAGATAAACCTATACATCTAGCCGAATATTTCCAGTCATTATTGTAGTCGCATCTCCAAATAGAGTAGGTCTTTCCATGCATTTAGGCAAATATTTCAGCCATCATCATTGTAGTCGCATATCTAGATATATCCTCCATAAAATCAAATATTTTCCATGTAATCTGAATTAATATCTGTAAGAGATTGTGATATTACTTTAAAAAACTAAAATTTAAAATACTTAAAAACGTCTTAAAAGAGAGATTAACATTTTTAACTGGTCAACATTTTTAACTTCTAAATCTATGTAATTACTATAAAAAAACAAAAATCAGAACCTTTCGAACATTTGAAATAAACTAAATAAAAATTTGCACTGATATTAAACTTTAATAAAGTTTTTAAAAAAATTTTAGTTCTTCCAGCATTACCCCCACAATTATTGACAAAACGTTTAATTAAGATTTCCAACCAACGAAAGTAAATACAAAAGCAAGTTTACATAAATAAATGCTTTGTACAGACATACAAAGAAATCAAAATCCTAAAATTTTCAGCAATAAAACTGTTCCTAAAGTTTTTCAATATAGTAGAACTGGGTTTTAAGAGGCTTTTAAAGTTGTGTAATACTTTGTGTTTTTTTCATAGAGACTAAACCCTAGATTCCTTTTTGTGTTTATAATCAATACTAAGTAGCAAACCTGTTCATTTATATTAAAAAATTAATTTCAAACTATGCACTTATAAAATCCATTAAGGTATCAAAATACACTGAGTGGTTAAAATTTGTATACCATACTCAGATTCTAATATCCAGGATTGGCTAGGAGCCTGCAAATTTAATTGTACGCAAAGTAGTACAGTTTGATAAATAATTAAACTTTAAAAATAACTTGAAGATAAAAATTTGAAAGGAGTCTTGAAGGCTTTGTAGAAATAGTGTAAAATCCTAAATGCAAAGTAGACTAGTAAACAAGGACATTACCTACTTTCTCATAAACAAAATTAAAGCTAACAAGAGTGGTAGATAAATTGTAAATCTTATCGACTTGTGGAAAAAATAAAACTATTTAATTTCGTTGCTCCGTATGCGCTGTATGCGAAACTGGTGGTTGCCGGTCACCAATCCTTAAGAAAATTAGATTTAAAAAAATATTTCTAACTATATTGCTATCATAGCAGCAAGAGAAAATCTTTTTAAATTTCAATGAATTTCCTTTCATTAAAAAGCATCTAAGAACGTAAATAAAATAAGACTAAAAATACTCAGTTATGGAAAATATTAAAATCCTAATATTATAATCTATTGTTCTGAATAAACAGCTCTTAGAACATACTTTTAATAACTAGTTTGACCGTACTATAAAAGAAAGCAAAATTTTGAAAATAAGAAATTTGTATAAATTTACTTTTGAATGTTTGCAAAATAAAATTTTCGTATAAATTACAGGATGTTAAAATTTGAAATATTTATAAAATTGTAACATAAAATTCAGTAAATTGATAACGTATCTCAAACGCATTCAAGGATTCTAAAATTAAGGATTATAGCTATTTCATATTATTATATTCTGAAATACGATGCACATATGAACATATAGGATTAAATATTTCAAGCGCAACAAAACGTGTAGGTGCGTTTACATTGGGAAACCTAGAACAACAAGTACTACGTGTTACTTTTTATTGACTACTTATTTTACGCTAGTTGAACTGCTACAAAATATAAACTAGAATACATTAAACCACTTTATAAGTATAATCAAGCAAAACTTGGTAACCCAAACTCAGTCTTGTTAATTTGAATTTACTAGGCGCAATTATTCATACATTAAAATAAAGAAAGTTAACTTACCTGATCGAATCAAACTTCACAATTGCAGGGCACACAAACTTCAAATCATAGACAGATTATTTACTTTTGTTCTTAACACCGAAAAACTTGACTCGTTCGTTGTAATAGAACTGGACAACTGAGGCCTTAAAAAAATCGACTCGTAGGCGACGAAAAACTAAATATCGCACTCTTATATAGGTTAAAAAAAACTGTGCGTGAAATTACTTCCGGTTGCTGGTTTTTGCTTTAATAAGTGAAATTTCATATGTATAGAGTCTCTTTGTCCTAATGGTATTTTCCTGCCACCAAACGTTGTGAATGATAGAGATGGTGGGTTCGAATCCAGCCGTAACCTGGTTGTATTTTTGGACTGAACTTTCTTATTTTGTGATATTTGATTTTCCACTTTACAAGAATTTATAAGTCATTTCTTTGTATATATAAGCTCATAACCCTGATTATGTATGAACTGGGGCCTCCCTTGCAGAGCGGTATCACTCGCCAAAAGCTGTGCAAAGCGTGGAGGTAGCGGGTTCGAATCCCGCTGTTACACTGGATGTATCTTTTTGCTCTCCTTCTATTTGACAAAGGTTTATAAGTCTAAATTGAGAACACATGCCTGCAAATGTATGTAAATCCAATAAACCAAATAAATAATATGCATGTACTATGAACAAATGGTTGAGGTCCTCATGGCCACTGAGTATTGTCAATCCGCTAAACATTCTAAAGCGTAAAGGTCGTGGGTTGAGTTCCCACTTTAATCCAGAATGTATCTTTCATTCTTACTATACGATTTTAATTAGTAACTTGTTGTGCCCTGTCCTTTCTTTTGAATTAAGCACATAGGTCTGTATTTATTCACTTATCTGAATGCATATCCAGGCTTGTATGCTCATCACAAAGTACGACTTATAAGAGCATGTCAACTTGAAGAACAGATAGTACAAGTAAGAGAAAGATATCATAAAGATACAGGATTGATATCAAACGGATATCATCCAGGTTTATGACGGAATTCGAACCCGCCACGTCCAAGTTGAGTCCGGGACCACTCAATCAGGGAGGCCCTCTCTCAAACCTGTAAATTTGTGAATTTCGTGTCGATATTTACTCGTTTCAATTGAAAGAGTGGATGAAAGTTAATAAACTTGTGCTTTAGCAGAAAAAGTTATGCTATGAAAATAAAAAAGCTACAGTTTATGTGCCTTATACTTGAAGCAAAACGATGATTTTAAACTATATATATGGATCATCTTAGGGCCCGGATTGCCTGGTTGGTAGGGCACGTTGCCCATGTCCGAGAATTCGTGGGTTCGATCCCAGGCTGGCTAAAGACTCCCCGAGTAGTAAATGGTGACCGATGCATGTTAAATCTGTTGAGTCGAAAAGTCCTCCATGTTCTCACAACAAATCAAGACCTCTGGGGATACTGATCCAGGAGTTTCCTTGTCTTCTGTATTGGTTCAAAATTACAAGGCTACGGAATTGAACATTAGTAATCGTAAAGCCAATATTGGGTCGGCTGTTCAAACGGATATAATATATATATCGTCATGCTGTGAAGAATTATCTGGGCCTTAGAACGAACAAATAGTTTAAATATTTTGAAAATTATTAAACTTACTTAAAAATCGCCAATTTGATAGACAATTGATGAAAATTATCAAAATCACTGCCTTATTCGCAGTTTTTTTTAAAAACTTTTATGACCCCAGATAATGCAGCATTGGAGGAAGTTTTTAAATATTAAAAAAGAAATTAAACCACAAACGCATTTCATTTTGGCAAAACTGAAGCTTTTCTCTGTATTGACGTTTTGCTAAAGCCTTAGGAAGTTTAAAATTTTGATATAGAACGTTCTAAACTTGTCCTGGCAGTTATTAGTGACTGTTACAAACTCACGGCAGTTATAAAAATAGCATATTATTTGATGAAAAAAGCATAATTTCATATGATGACGAAGCCTTTGAAAAATAACCTTCAAATCCCATTTTGCGAAAAAAGTGCATAAATTTATACTGCAAAATTACCAACTAAGTTACAAATCGAAACAAATATCAAAGTTTTTAACTGTAGGACTAAAGATGATCTTTATTTTGCCATGATGCAAATTGTAACAACTGGATTTTATTACTCGTTAAAACTTCGTTTAGAAAAAAAGAAATAAAAGGAGAACGATGCCATACAAAAAATAATTTATTTATTTTGTTTACAATATTTACAATGAAAGCAATAAAAAAAATGATGTTTGTTTGGCTCTTTCGTTAAAAATCTTGCTTCTGTTTACCTGCAAGTAGAAAAAGAAGGATGTTAAAGAAGTTGGTCTCAATCAGTAAGTTAGTTATTTTCAATAATCGGTTTAAAAATTCATAATATTGATGCTTAAATTTTTTGTTTCGATTATATAATAACAAAATCGAAGTTTCAAACTAATATTATCCACCATACAGAATTAAACAGAGCAATAACGTTTTCAATATTTATTATTAAATTTGCTTTTATTATTTTTGTTTAAAAATATGAAAACACAAAAAGTGTTTGTATATTTAAATAGCTACACTCCAAGCGGGGAAAAATTTAAATTATTGCGTCTGCAAATATTTTCTATTCTATCAAAATGTTAATATTTTAGTCATAAAATTGCAGAAACAATTTTGAGAGTTATTCGAAAGAAACCCGACAATTAAAAGCTGAATTAAAGAAAAAGGGAAGGTGGGAGAGATGTAAAAGTTAGAAATATGAGAAGTTATTTACCATTTTAAAATTCATTGCGTTGTACCACTCATCAAAGCATCATTTAACTAATAGGGGATCGAATGTTAAATCTTTACCACAGACTGCATTATTTTCGGTTGGAATTAAACGTGTCAGATATAACAGAAAATTCAATTTCCATTTAATTTGAAATCTGAAGCTTAATTTTAAAACTAAAAGTATAAAATTATTGTAAAATTTATATTTTACAAACATTTATTAAAACATAGTAAAACTATTATGCGTTAAAGTATTAAATCTTTACCACAGACTTTATTATTTTCGGTTGGAATCAAACGTGTCAGATATAACTTCAATTTCCATTTAAACCAAACTTTACAATTTAACTTTAAAGTTGGAAATATAAGAAGTTATTTACCATTTTAAAATTCATTGCGTTGTACCACTCATCAAAGCATCATTTAACTAATAGGGGATCGAATGTTAAATCTTTACCACAGACTGCATTATTTTCGGTTGGAATTAAACGTGTCAGATATAACAGAAAATTCAATTTCCATTTAATTTGAAATCTGAAGCTTAATTTTAAAACTAAAAGTATAAAATTATTGTAAAATTTATATTTTACAAACATTTATTAAAACATAGTAAAACTATTATGCGTTAAAGTATTAAATCTTTACCACAGACTTTATTATTTTCGGTTGGAATCAAACGTGTCAGATATAACTTCAATTTCCATTTAAACCAAACTTTACAATTTAACTTTAAAGTTGGAAATATAAGAAGTTATTTACCATTTTAAAATTCATTGCGTTGTACCACTCATCAAAGCATCATTTAACTAATAGGGGATCGAATGTTAAATCTTTACCACAGACTGCATTATTTTCGGTTGGAATTAAACGTGTCAGATATAACAGAAAATTCAATTTCCATTTAATTTGAAATCTGAAGCTTAATTTNCGATCTCTTAAGAGCAGCCAGACCCCTCAGCCAATGGGAAGCCAGGATTCCTCGGAACCGGCCAATCAGGTTGCAGCTACCCCACCGGCAGACCCTGAGATCGCTCCCGGGACCACCACCGACACCCCTGCGGCAGCCTCTCCCTCCTGCACTCCAGTACGAAAGAAGCGGAGAAAAGCCAAGCCGAGGAAACTCCCCGTGGATGCTACTCCCTCCAAAGCACCTGACCCTCCTGTGATAACTTCAGATATTCCAGTGGCGGAGAAAATTGTGACCGAGAACTCATTTAAAAACTAAACGTATAAAATTATTACAAAATTTATATTACACTAACACTTAAAATTTAAATACCATTTAAATCAAATTTTGCAATTTAACTTTAAAATTAAAAATGTAAAAAGTTATTTAACATTTTAAATTCATAGCGTTCTAGCACTCATCAAAACATATAATAGAATGTTAAATCTTTACCACAGACTGCATTATTTTCGGTTGGAATTAAACGTGTCAGATATAACAGAAAATTCAATTTCTATTTAAATTAAAATCTGAAAAGTTATTTTAAAACTAAACATATAAAATTATTACAAAATTTATATTACACTAACACTTAAAATTTAAATACCATTTAAATCAAATTTTGCAATTTAACTTTAAAATTAAAAATGTAAAAAGTTATTTAACATTTTAAATTCATAGCGTTCTAGCACTCATCAAAACATATAATAGAATGTTAAATATTAACCACAGACTGCATTATTTTCGGTTGGAATTAAACATATCAGATATTACAGAGAATTCAATTTACATTTAAATTGAAATTTGAAGCTTAATTTTAAAACTAAACAAATAAAATATAAAATTATCCTTTTTACTTATATTACACTAACACTTATAAAACTATTATGTGTTAAAATATTAAATCTTCACCACACACTGTATTATTTTCGGTTGGAATTCAACGTATCAGATATAATAAAAAATTTAATTATCATTTAAATTAAATTTTACAATTTAACTTTAAAATTAAAAATATAAAATGGTTATTTAACATTTTAAAATTCAAAGCGTGCTAGCACTCATCAAATCATAATATGGGAAAATAGAATGTTAAATCTTTACCATAGACTGCATGGTGTTTCCTTGGTTCCAAAAGGATCAGATGTAACAACGATAAAAGTTTGCGGAAATCGTTTTCCTTCCGAAGCTTCTATAGGGGTGGTTGTATCGTTGTCCTTATCTTCTAAACAATCTGGGTTAAGAAATTCTCGTACTTGAAAATACTATGTTAAAAATTCATTCAACATATTGCACTACTTTCACTAACAAACACACTATGTGATGAACTATGTGATGAATACTTATATGCTTGAAATCAATCAATAATTCTTTTAAATTAACAGAAGAATAAATACGAACAAATGTTACTGTTTAAAATTACACTCATTTTGAAATTTTGAAAATGTATGAAAATATTAATTTAAAGAAGTAAAAAACCGTTTTCTATTTGAGCAGTTAAAATAATATAATTACTTTTTTTAATTCTTCTTCTATTTATTATTTCTATTTACTTCTTCTAATTGCGTCACACATTTTGTATGCTTAGATAAATTTTTCAAGTTCAGTATGTTTTATTTAAATCCAAGTAATTGTTTATTTTGCTGTGATTTCCAAATTAAAAAAATGTTCTTTATTTTTGTAAAAAATATAAACTTTTAGAAACAATGATGAAGGCGAAGCTATCACGAGGGTTGGTCCTAGTTTTGCATTAAGGAAAAATTTAATGATTAAAATGCTTGTTTTATGATATTGTTCAAATAAATTGCACAAACTCAAATAAAAAACTATTTTATTAGTTTGAATAACATGGTGAGATAAATAATTGATAGTTCATAAATAGCTCCTAATTAATGTTGATAATTTCATTGCAATAATTTTGGATACCCAGAGCAAGTATAAATTGGTGAATGAATTAGAAATTACAAGAATCAATTCACTGTTTCAGAAAGGGAATTTTATATCAGGATAGTACGTAGATTGTTGAATGTCCGATCCCGTGTAAAATCAGCATTATTTGAGAGATTCTAGTGATTCCTAATTTTTTTTTTGGGGGGGGGGGTTTACGAGCACTAAATGACCAAACTTCATTGAGTTGCCAATTTCAAATTCTTATATAAAATGTATAATTCCGATTTCCAAAAAAATCTGTGAGATCTTTAAATTTTTTATTTATTTTTGAATGAGAAAAAATTTGTTCCGTCACATTAAAAAATTTGTCTAAAAGGTGTAGATAAGAATAAAAGATTTCCATTAGAATATTCTGGCGCATGTTTTGGATTTACGTTCGCAGAACAAATTCAATCCACATTCAGGATCACTATTTGTCATGCCGTGTTCGTTCGGCAGTCCTCCGGGTGAATCGCTTGGATTGCATGCTTCTCCTTCCACTGTAAAAGAATAAAAATTACTTAAGAACGCCCAAAAAATAATTTTCCCTAACCTATAGTTTGCCTACGGTAAAAATTTCTCCCGCCACAAAGTCTGAGGCAGTCTGCTGCTATGGAAACAAGAATAGCGCATTTCAGGGAGGGTAGCTTCTCTTCTCTCTAGGGCTAACATAATAGACAGAAGAAAAAGATTCCTTTTCTCTCGCTGATCCGACCATAGTCAGCCCCACGGGTCCAGACAAATGGTTAGGGGAGTTTTTACTTTAGACAAACTATATTTACGCCCATCCTTAAAAAGTGCTCTATATATGAAAAACAACCCGTATATTTGTAAAGTGTGTTCTAATGATTGGAAAAACATGTATTGCGTGTTAAACTTAAACTAATTGGCACATAGATTGTGGTAAATAATTGATAATTAATTAGATAAAATCAAATATGTTAGCTAAAAAGGGTTAATTATTTAACTAACGGAATCAGATACAAAGCGTTGTTTCTCTGAATGAACATACCTTTTCTTTGAATTCCGGACCTACTTCCTAAATCTTTTAAAATTAACGTACTGATAAGCACAGTCTAAACTTGAAAAAGATTTATGATAATCAGGCCCACAGTCAAATATGAGTTTGGAGCTTATGTTATTAATTTATTATGTTATACATAATTAGGTTATTTTTTGCAAAATTAGTCATAAAAATAGGATACTTGTGTTATCATTTATTTTCTCTTTGGTAAAAAGGAACTGTCCATTTAAACAGCACGAATGTCAAAAAATAAAGGGCACGAATTATTTTCAGATAGTTTTTATCGTGAAAACCGAATTCAATTAATATTTTAAGATAGTTTTCGTAGTGAAAACCGAGTTAATTTATTAATTTAAGTTAGTTTCATGAAGAGTAAAATTGTTTTTTTTTTAACCCTTTAATAGGCCATTTATTTCTAGTAAGGTTAGGGTAAACCAACCAGTGAAGGAACATTTCATATATATTGATTAAAAATAAGAATTTGAAAGTTTTTCTTTAGATTGATTGGTTACAATACCATACTGCCAAACAATGGGAAGTCATCTAGCAATGTTTTGGATTACCTGGTCAAATCGACTTCTCTGGAAAATTTTTTGAATTAGTTATTATCTCTGCAACACCTTGTTTCTTTGAGAAAATTATAAGGTGAGTGTTTGAATTTATATGTTTGAAGTGGAATTAATTGCATGTAATAGCTTTATTTTTCTCACTGGAAAAAGAGAATTCAAAATATAGTTATTGAAATTACGTTTTATTACTTTTTAAGCATCATAGCATAATAAAGTACTGAGATAAGGGGGTGTTTATTCAACGGATCACCAAACGATGAAAGTTCCAGTGAAGGAACAAGTGTTCCATTACTACAATGAAAATAAAAGATAAAATTTAATTTTCTTGTACCTTCAGTGATGTTCCGCATCAAAAGTATGTTAAAAATACGAAAAACAACTTCTGACCAGTAAGGGAACAGGCATGTTCCTTTACTGGGCATAGATTTCCCAGTGAATGAACAGTATGTGTTAATATGTTGACACTTTAATTTTCAATTCATGATTACAAAAAAAAAAAGTTAACGTTTCCCAAGTATTAATATGTTATAATTTCAAGAATAGGCTTGTTTTTAAATATTTGTATCCCTTATAAAATCATAAAGAGCATTAAAAAATAACCAAAATTAAGTGTTCCTTTACTGGGTGTTCATTCACTGGTAAGAGCTGTCCCTTCACTTGGTCTTCTTCATGGTTAGTGTTCCTTCACTGGTTAGTTTACCCTACATTAAAATACTTTTTGAATTTAGACAAAAAAGTTCATTTATATTAGTTGATAAAATTTAATTTGAATTTTTATAACATTTTTTATGGTAAGTGTGTTTACTACTATCCAACAGGTGTTATAAAAAAGTAAGAAACTTAATGAATTTCATTTCTTTTCATTTGTAAAACAAATTTTACAATTCCTCCAAACTGAGAAAGGATCATTGTGTTATAATTTATTTTAAATTTCCTAAAACAGGCATATTGTAACCAATTTTATTCAATATTACTTCATTAGAGCAGAAGTTGATAACAAATAGCATACCAAAGTTGAAGTGTTGGTAAATATACTTACCACGGCCTTAGAAAGGATTAATATAGGTCTGATTGCGCAGACCGAGGTTAATTACTATTTTAAGATAATTTTCATCTATAAAACCAAGGTACATGACTATTTCAAATTAGTTTCCATCTTCAAACACGAACCATTTTTTGAGAGCAGAATAATGAATTATTCTGGATCAAGCTGATTTTGGATAGTACTTGAAATATGAAGGCATGATGGTAAAAACAACTTACTAAGGACTCTAACACAGTTGTCACAGCATCCACAAAAGCCACCATTCCTCTTTAACTTGAATCCCATGGGGCACTCGGGTTGCCCACACACTATCCTCCGGCAGACCATTTCGTCACAGACAGCCGCATTAGCAACAGCAACGCAGACAGCGATTATTAGAAGAATTGCCAGTTTCATATTCCTCACCTTATGAGGAAAAAAACAGATGAACAGGGTGATTCTAAAATTGTGTTGCTAACACATGATTTCTAGCGAGCATTATTTTGTATACAGGAATTCGCTTAAGAATATACACTGTGTAAAACAGAATTTGCAGATTTGGTCGATTATCTCCAGAACTACTGGACCGAATTTAACACTAGAAGGACTGAAACTTAGTATATACCTATATTGCCCAAAAGCAGTCAAAATGGCTAGATTGTGAAAGAATAACTAATGTGTAAAGAAATTTGTTTAAAATTAATTTTTAATATTTTTTAACATTATTTACAGTTATATAACAGGTTATTAGTAAATATTAATAAAAAAAATTATGTGTCGTACCAAAAGTCACAAAATTCTAAGAAATTGTGTCATTATATTATACATCATTGTTTTTCTAAATTTGATCTGTACATACATTGATACAATACAAAACAAATAACCATTCAACAATTGTAATATATACACTCATGATCGTGCGCTCATTGGAGTCGGAATTTATGAAATTGCGATAGAACAATTCAGGTCACAGGAAATGATGAACTGCCTTATTTCAAGTATTAGGGGAGAGTCGGGTAACCCCACCCACTTAAAGAGTATTGCTTATATTTCTGTATAATATTGAGTAATAATCAATATTTTTGTATGTTTCTATTGTTTTAACATCTAATTAAATAATGCAAAAAGAATAAACCAAAAATAGAATAGTTTAACTTAAAAAAATAGAAATTTAAAAAAAAACATATTTTTCAGCTCTTTTCAAAATGTGTCAGGTAGCCCCGCCCAGTTACAAAAATTATGTTTTTTGACTGTTTTTTCAGGTATAAATGAAAGTGATCAATGTATTGACAATAGATAAACCTCATTTATCATTTTTATCACAAAATTATTTTATTTATTACATATTTATATACTTTTAGTGAATTCTATCATTTAATAACAATCTTTTAATAACAACAATATTTGTTGCTAAAAATGCATATAACATTCTAATTTGAAGCAATAAAATAATAATGTTTGCAACCGTACATTTATCGACGAAATAAAATTGGGCGGTGATACCCGATATTCATGTGAGCGGGGCTACCCGAAATCCAATTTTTTTGTAAATTTGTAATTACTCGAACAATTTTTCACCTATAAACTTCTTTCTTCGTGCAAATTAAACTTAAGACTACATACTTTAATGCTGTATGTATAGAAAAAATTATTATTTTAGTGTTAAAATGAAGTTTAATCGAAACATTCAACCAATTTTTCTTAATTTCACGACTACTGTATTCAACATATTTTCAAAACTATTGTTTACCATGTTAACAGCTGCATAAATACTTGAAACTTTGAAAATAATCTTTTTTTAATATAACAATTAATATCGGATGGCCTATTGATTTGAAAAAATATTCTATACATATGAAATTGACTGTGGGCGGGGGTACCCGCTGGGGCGGGGCTACCCGACTCTCCCCTAAATCACGCTGCAAGTCCTGTATATCTGTAAGAGGGGACCATACCCCCTACTAACTCATTTTCTTTTGTTGATTCTGCAACCGCTATTTCATACCTTCCGACTCCGAGTGTAACGCACGACCATGCATGTGTATTACAATTTTTCAGTTTGTTATTTTTTTTAATCGTATCAATGTATGAACATATCAAATTTCATTTCCAGTAGTTCTAGAGATAATCGACCAGATCTGCAAATTCTCTTAATTACTTACACCAGTGTAGTTAAAAACAATTATCCGGTTCTCATAATTACAGTCACAGTGATAAAACTTAATTTTCTTAAATAGTAAAAAAATTTTCTACCTCAAAGCGTGGTTCCTATATAGTTAAAAATCTAAAAATGAGTTTAAGCTGGGGCTAAACTGCGATGTAGAAAAAGGTAGTTTATAAATTGTAAACGAATTAGCGATTCAGCTATAATTAACGTGTTCTGACGGCAACGGGAAGAAAAAAGAAAATGTGATTAGTATAGCCTTCTTTATGCCTCTAGCCCTCACCGCTTCTATTCGCGTTGAACAATATTGTAATAATGGAATAATGATATTTTTAAAGTAAATATTCTAAAATTTTTTGATGCGATATTTTTTGTTTTTCACTGTTAAAAGAAGAAAAAATTGATGTTATCGTTTGAAAAATTTTAACCTGTGTCACTGTAACCCCAATCATATATAAACTTGGTAATTGGTCAGTTCCCTGATTTAAAGATTTCGGAGGTCACTTTATAAAGTTCTGACGATAACATTCGTAAACAGACAAAAAATTTTAACTGGTTTTAATATTAAGAGTGGAGAGAATATATTTTATCCTTCCCTTTTTCGTTATAAACAAACGATTTTGTATTAAATTAAAATATTTTGAAACAAACTTCTTATTTTTAATAAAAAAAGAATTTCTAGCGCTTTACCAACAGTTTTTAACTGTAACTATGAACTCCTATGACCGCCGTTTTATGATCTATGATCATATGAAAAACTATGAACTCGGTCGTTCGGAAAGTTGACAGCAATCAAACGACTTGTAACATTTCAAAAGTTGAATGAATTTGGAAAAAAGCTCCAAAAGCTGAACTGACCCTTTGGTGTTTAACAGTGTTTTAAAAAAGCGTCTTTTTTATGATACTTCTCTATACAAACAGAAAGTTTACAAATATTCCTTTCTAAATGCAAGATTTGTTCGTAATAAACGGGTTCTGTCTCTGCTCTCTCTCAAATCGAACTAACCAATCAATAAAAATTTTCTCGTTAAATCAAGTCTGGTAATAAACGAATTCAACGGTCATGTGCTGAAATATTCAAACTTAATCTTTAATTAATTTTTGTCTTTTTACTATTAAACTCGGGTATTTAGTTCGGAGTTTCTATTACTTCACCCTAGTGAACCGTGTCAGAGAAGTTGCAGAGAGAAAAAAAGAGTACTTGCTAAAATGACATCTACTTTAGGTTATTAATAAATATTAAAGTCTGCATAATTTGTTTTAAAAAAAACCCCGAAAATTTTTATTATTAGTTTGCAAAAACTAATGTGCTAATACAGTGTAAATAATCGTTGTTGTTATTCTTAACTTGTCTAGCCATTGTAAATTTTCCCAGCTGGTTCGCCTTTAAATGCACATTAGATTTAGGACTGCAGAACGATCGAAATTACGGCTGAGACCTATCGAAATAAAATTTCTTTTCACTTTTTTCCTTTTATTTGATAAAGAACATGGTCAAATTTTGAGACTTGCATCTTTGTGGAAAACTTAAACATAATTTTCAATATACGTAATTTTCCCGTAATTACCCGGATGAATATAAAAACATTGTTAAAATTTATTTTTCTCAATATAAAAAATAGTGTTTTAATTTCTCCTTCTACAAAAAGGTTACATAATCTGATTTTTTGATCAACAAAGATTATCCAGATATCTTTGGCTGTCATCAGTTAAAAATGAGTGAAAGTTACAACGGTATTTGTCTGCAAAATATTATGATACTATATGATATATATGAATATATATGATACCTATCTGCTTTGAGAAGCCGAAAAAATCTCCAAAATTTGACCCCCAGTCAATATTGCTAATGCCAATGATGCTCATTAAATCGTGGTAATGTACGGATAGTGTGGTAACAAGTAAATGCATGCTACGGTTCGAATTTAATATATTAATGTAGGTAAAGTGATTATAGCTTTTTCCTAAATAATGAAAAAAGTGCCTAATTTACTTTTTATTTAACAAATTTAATATATTAATGTAACGTATTTAATATATTAATGTAGGTAAAGTGGTTATAGTTTTTTCCTAAATAATGAAAAAAGTGCCTAATTTACTTTTTATTTAACAAGTTTCACCTGCAATATTTATTTAACATCCCTTTTTATTGTTATTTTTATTGGGGTTTTCATTATTATTCAAAATTGAAATAGCTATAAAATTAAAAGTGGTTATTTTTTAATTATAGCATAAAGTAATTGCGTAATTTTATGGTAACTCTGTGTTTCCTTATTATGCAACATTTTATTGGTAAAGATATTTAGATAAACATTTAAAAAAAATTTGAATTCTAAATAAGTTTTCTTTATTAGTAAATTTTATGTAAAAGTGAATATTTTTTTTTAAATTCCTAGTAAATTATACAATCAAAAACGACTTCTTAAATATATTTTTATCTTTGGTGCATGAAAGGAATTCTTGATGTGCTTCATTAGTTACGGAGATATAGAAAAACATGCAAGAAAAGAAAAAAATGAAATTGAACTTTAGGGACTAAACGTTTAATCCCTCTCCTGCCTAAACAATTGGAGTGATTTTCTTAAAGATAGTAACTTTACTAGTCCACATTTTAAAAGTCAAGAATCCAAATCCAACCAAAAAAAATTTATGTTTATTCAGAGTACACATTGTATATGATTTCGTCATTTAAAATATTGACTACATAAATTAATTAGCATATTTTAGGTCAAACTCTAGAACTATACATTTATATTAAAAGTGGACAACAATTCAATAACCAATAAATAATAAGAAATAAATACAATAAGGAAAATATACAATAGTAGGAAAATTGGGAATTAAAAAGTATCATTCTTCTCCTTTTCCGCTTCCCACAACTAAATGTCCCTGAACCAGATTTTTCGCAGTTCATGAGTTGAATCTTAATCACTTAACGTATTTCTTATCTAAAACATTCAATTAAAAACTTCCACATGTCCTGGCTTTGCTCCAGAAAAAGCACAGTAAAAAAAAAAGACCCTGCACAAATATGAAAAGCGGCCTTTCACAGAATGAGTTCACGCGACGACTAAGAAATAAATAATAGAAAAATAAACAATACTAAGAACTATAAATTGCATGAGAAAGGTGGTCGGGGATGTTTGCTGATCAATCGAATAATCGAATGCAGAGAACATTTAGTGGAGATATCGTTCCTTTTCCCCTTCCCCAATCGATTCTCAAGCAGTTTCCTTGGAGACAAAAAAGCCTCAACACACACAAATTTATTAAGATTCCTTTTTAAGTTCTAAGAGAGGTGGACATTCATTGAAAGAGGTGTCGTCCTAAGATATTTCAGCTGACGATGGGGAGTCGTCAGAAGAAACAATTCAACTCCACGCGCGATAAGATGCCGGATGTGGAGAATGTCAAGGTGGCTGTCCGGGTCCGGCCTTTTGTATCCTTTGAGATTTTATTTATATAGGTATTTTGTCTTTCATATGTTAATCGAAAAGTAACTAACTCTGATAATGAAATGAATTGAAAAAAAATATAGAAAATTAAAAAAGTTTTTATAGTTCTTTGCAATATCGTGATAAGCAACAAATAGATATAGGTGTCTTTAATATATATCTATGAAGTCCATAAATGTTTCTATTACTGTTTTATATTTAGATATTTTTTTACTATAGAATAGTATTTAACAAACTTAACATAAAGCAAAGGAATAATTCTCGTATTTTTTAATTAATGAATTGTTATAAGATTTTATTTATATATTTTTTATTATTTAATTGCTATTTTGCTCAAAAAACAGAGGAACTCTTAAATTTAGGTGTGTGGAGCACTAATTAAGTAAAACAGAAAAAAATGCAAAATCTTACAAAGGATTACACTTACTGAGAATATGGATACTTCATATTAGCCTGTGGTCCGGTGCGAGTAGTATATATGTTACCATGAATGATCGAAATCAAGAGAATGTCGACTTTCCCCGGTGAATGTCAACAATCACTTAATCGCTTTGGTGAATGTCCGAAATATTTGTAATATCCGATTTGATATTAATTTATTTGATATTTTAATATCTGCTGAGGATAGATTAGGAGAAACATGAGTGTTCGGAGTACCGGTTAAATGTATACCGGGTAGTGGAACTTGACCTTAAAAAATATTTATGTAAGGCATACCGGGCAGTGGCACTTAATTAGACCTAGTATGCGTTTCAGACATTGACCAAAGCGACTATATGATTGTCAACATTCTCTGGAGGAAGTCAACAATCACCCATTTCAGTTATTCACAGTAAAATATGTACCGGCGTCGCTAATTTAGTGACAATCGGTCTACCTTCTGTGTCATATTTCTTCCATTTTTCATTCTACGAAGAAGCCTGCAGTTATTGTATAGTAATTAATGACGGTTTTTTATCGATCAAAATAGCGAGACTATTTCCCATAACCTACTAAAACGTTCGATTAGCTCAGTTGAAATTGTCTTTTCTTTAACCTTTTAATTCAGAGCCAAAGGGAGCGCCAGAGGAATGCCAAAAACATAATCTCAATGTACGACAAGATGACGTTTTTGAACAATCCTGACGCACCTTCCGAAGAATCGAAGAAATTCACCTTTGATCACAGTTATTGGTCCCACGACGGATTTCGAGAACTTGAAAATGGGCTCATCGTAAAAGACCCTGCGCAACCCAATGGGGACAAATACTGCGACCAGGTTATAACCTCTTTCTTTTCTTTTTCTTTTTTTTTTTCATATACTAACATATCATTCCTCTTGTTCTTATCGTTTAAAAAATATCTCTAATGTTACTTTTTTTTTTTGAAAAGTACCTTATGATTTTTCACTTATTAAACCCATCAAGAAATATAACTAAAACTATGGAAAATTGTCTTATCCTGCAAATATCGTATTATTTCACTTGTTTTGATCTTTTTAAAAATCATCATAACCTTTTTTTAAAAATATCCTTGAAGTTATCTTTGCTTCGTTCTTTTTTTTCTTTTTTTGTCACGTAGCTTATGATTTCTCCCTTTTTAAACTCACCAAAAAATGTAAGAATATAGAAAACTGTCTTATCCTATAACTATCCTATAATTTCTTCTGCTGTTATGTACATCATTTTTCTTTTTTTAAACAAAATTCCTTGCATAAATTTTTCTTTTAGTTCATTTATTATTTTTTATTTTTATTTCTATAACCTTTTTAAAAAACCTTTTAGAATATTTTTTTTCTTTTTTGTGAAGTATCATATATTTTTTTTTATGTCCGTTATAATTTTTAAAACCCCTTCAGTAGTTTTTCTTAATGTAAACTAAGCTAATTATCTGTCTTGTTTGTACGTCCGTTATCCTTTAAAAACATTTACAATATTCTTTCTTTAAGTAAATTAAATTGTTACATTAATACGAGTACTTTATTTAACGTTTATTTCATGTTTAATTTAAATAATAAAGGCTGCACTTTGTTGAAATGCAACATAAATATCAGAAATTTTTTTATAACATTTGGAAAATAACATTGATTGATATGGGTGTATATTTCAGCTTTCATTCCAAATTTGCAGCCGCACTAACACTTTAAACGATTTAAAGGTTTCCAATCATTTCCAGTCCTGACCCAAAATCAACAGCTTTATGACTCAATGATCTTATTTTAAAGTTAACATTTAAAAATAACATATATTTTCCATTACGTAAAACGTTTTATTTGTTTTCGAAAAAATAGAAAAAAACCGACTTGGTTTGGATAACAAATGGCTAATTACTAAGTTTATTTATAAAATAGAACTATGTGAGTAACAAGAGTCATGAGTAAAAATTGGATCAATAAACTAAATCTATAGGGTGTTCTGTATAGACTGACCTTAATATGTATTTTGTAGAATCTTTATCAAAAATATAAACAAAATGCCTACTCATTGGAGATCGCAAATTAATATTTAAGTTAAGGAAAAGAAAAACGTTATCGAAAACTGACCAATTTTAGTAGAGGAAGGTGGATGTAATAAATATCAAAACAAGTTTTATTGGAAGTTGAAACTTGAAGATGTTTCGTTTTTCAACTCTTCTGTTTCCTCCAGCAAACATGTCTTGTTGTTTCATACTCTTGCCTGATTTGTAAAATTTCGAAACAGTTTATGTTTTTTAACTGGTTAAATATTACTTTGTATTTTTTTGATTTCAGTTTTAGTGCGGATTTCAAAAATACATATTAAGATTTTTTTATCGAACATCCTATACACAACCTTGCTTTACCACGTGTATAGTATGAAAAAAAGTGTTTCTTTATTTTCCAAAGAAAGTTGGCTACACCACTCGGAATGTCTTCCTATCCAAGTTTGTAACACGATTTATAGTTTAAAATTACAAGGAAAGTTTAAGGGGAGTTTTTTTTTCAAATTGCTTTACAACCATGCTTAACATTATAGATAGTCCAATACTTGACAAACACGGGACACAATTATGTAATTTTGTCAATTCCTTTACAAATCACTTTGTACAGGAAAAAAAGATAAAATTTCCTTTCCTGAATTTTATCCAACAGCAACATGGTTAGTCAAAATTCTCCTAAAATTCAAAGAGCATCAACAAAATGATATTGCAATTAAATACTATAATAATATTCCTTCACGATAATTAACTCAAAATATATTGTTTGTTCTTAACCCGATTTCATTAATGGAGAATTTCACCTTTCATCTCTTAAATAGACCACTGCAGAAAGTCTAAGTAAAAAAGTTTGCTGAGACAAAATCTACCGTCAAAATTTTAAACTATAAATAACTAACCAGGATAAAACCTGGCATGAGCAAATTATCACGTGAATCAAAATGGTGCGATGCTTTTATTTACAAATAAATATTTGATATTTCGGGATATTTGACTTTGCGACAAATCGTTTAATTTACTTTGCACCAGCATAAAATAAAGCATTTGCGTAAAGTCACGGTGCACATTTGACAAGTCAACGAGCAAAAATCCGAAGTTTTACGGACGGATTTTTTTTTTAACAGTGAAAGTTTGATCGTATTTAAACTATCTACTATATTTCTTGTAGATGACAGTGTTTAACGACCTAGGCAAAGGTATTCTGAACAATGCTTGGGAAGGATACAACTCAACACTGTTTGCGTATGGACAGACAAGCTCCGGAAAATCATGGTCCATTGTGGGATACGGCGTCAACAAAGGTAATACGACTAAACTTGATTATTTTTTTTAGAAATATTAGATTAAACTCTATGTTTCTGTCCGGGATGAGATGAAACATGACTTCCTTTATTTCACAGCAGCCAAACTTGAAGTCCCAGAATAATTATAACAGTTTACAAATAACAATTTAAGGTAAACTTAATTTGTTTAATTGTTCTCGGATCTAAAAACACTTCTCTGTCCAATTAATAGGTTTTGTATGAATGTTTTAGTTGTTTGCATGTAGTGGAGGACAAAATCATTCTAAATTAAATTATATTATTGAATTAATAAAATGCTAAATCATTAAAGTTTCTACCACTCTAGATATTCAAATGAAATGTTTGATTTTTCAGTATTTAAATAGATATCCCCTCATCACATCATTTTGAATAAAATACGAAACTATTTTGGCATTTAATAATTTTCCTCTAGTTAGAAAATTTTTGTTAAATTGTCTATTTTTTCAAAAGCTATCATCTTTGATATTTAAAATATTGTCCCGTTTCCTAGTCTAGACAATTTTTTTCAGTGCGATAGTTCATATGGTATGAAATCAAAGATTTATTGCAGGTGTAAAATACTGTAACTGAGGTTTTTATTTTGCTTGGCGGAAGAGGTTCGAATAGTTCTATTATTGGCTGTTTTTCAAAGGCTCAAGCACCTCATAATTTTTTTTTACAAATAATATGCTTTTTTTATTACTGCTGTGAGGTCGAAGCACCTATTTATGGTTATTTTATTTAATAACTGTCGTTGAACAGCCGACCTAATTTTTAGAGTTTAGGTCTCCTGGATCAAGTATTGAGAGAAATTTGCCTTTGTAGAGGACTTTTTGATGGAACTAATCCGCATTTGCGCTACAGGGAGTGGAAAACCATGAAAAGCTCCCACTGTTAACCTAACGCCAAGGGGACTCTAACTCGTTATCCGTCTACCACTGAGGATATTTTACGTCAGCACTGAGGTCGGTGTGAAGTGGGTGTGCAATTCGTATCGACCAGCCATCGCTGGGATTTCGAACCGGGTTCATCTCCTTTGAAAGCGAACGTTCTATCCCATGAGCCATTACGGCTCTATTTATGACTATTAAGCCAAGTTTAGCTTTTCTTTAGCCAGTGCCCTCTATGCTGGTTCTGAAAATGGGGAATTGAAATACCGTCAATATAAAGCCACAAGTGCTTTATAAAATGAAAAGGATTAGTGATTTAGTTCTTTGATATTTAAAATATTCACTCAAACACTGTATTTTCTGGGCTCATAAAGTTTTTTGAAAATTGAGAATTATTCATTGATTTTGATAATTTTCAACTATTTGCAAAAATATCGCCAAATAGTCAAATTTCAAGAAAGCGTAGCAATTTCTAAAAAATTTAATTTATTTGTCCGTTCTAAAGCTGAGATAATTCTTTACAGCACTATTATGAAGTTCAAAACTATAACTTTGCCATAAACTCTGTCCTTATTTTTTTTTTTTTTTTCTGGTGAAAGAACTTCAAAAAACATTGTTAAGATTCTCATCCAAATGCAATGTATCTCTTTTGTCCGTTCTTGAAATATCAGTTCGCGCAAAATGTATATTTTATTCACTCAATATTTTTCGGCATGATAATATATTTCTCTATTTACATGAAAATATGCTTTTATAAATTAAAAATGCAGTTTTTCTTTTAGTTTCATAATTAAAAATGAAACTTTTCTTTAGTTGGCGAGTGTTACTGAGCAGAGCCTGCTAGTTTTAATTCATTTTTGTCTTATGCAAATTTTAATACATTTAATATGTCACGGTAGATGAATGAGAATTAAATCAGTAAAACACAGATATTGGACAATTACTTTCATTTTAATTAATTTTTATCCTGTGTACCATGATTTATTGAATGCATAATTTAGCGCCGCAAGAACTACACTGGTTATCATAAATTAAGGAAAATTCACAAAAATCGCGATAACTCAAGAAATTACACATGGAATTTTATGAAACTTACCCACAATATACAACACATAGTAAGGTATTAAACAACATAAAAAGAAATTATCAGACATTAATAGTAGTATAGAAATTAGCACATGTATAAAATAAACAAATTGGAAGTATCGGTTTGCAATAGAAAAAGTACCTTTAATATGGAATATGATTGCCTCTAGAAGCAATACAGCACAAACAGCGATGTGTGATGCTTTCAATTATGCGGTCTATCAGTTCAATAGGAAGTGAGAGCCATTGCTCTTGTAAAGCAGTTGCAAGCGTGGCAAGGGTCTGAGGGGGCGGATTGATGGCAGATACACGCCTCCCTAGAGCATCCCAAACGTGCTCGATAGGATTCAAGTCCGGGGATCGAGCTGGCCACTCCATGCGAGTAATTGTTTCCTGTTGAAGATAATCATCAACAATGCGAGCTCTGTGTGGTCTTGCATTATCGTCCTGTAACAGGAAGCAATCACCAATTGCCCCGGCATATGGGCGCACATAAGCATCAAGGATGTTGTCTCGATAAACCTGAGCATTCACGGTTCCCCTTGGAAAGACATGGAGGTATGTGCGCCCTCCTAAGGATATGCCTCCCCAAACACAGACACTGCCTCTTCCGTATGCATCTCTTTCACGGATGTTTGATGGATGATAACGGGTCCCAGGTTCTCTCCATATCAAATAACGTCTACTGTCACTTTCTAGACTAAACCTGGACTCATCCGTAAAGAGAACAGGCCTCCATTGATCTGACGTCCAGTGGACATGTTGTCGGGCCCACTGCAAACGGTCTCTCCTATGGCGTGATGTGAGCGGCACGCAAATGGCTGGTCGTCTCGCATACAGACCACCTTCGTGGAGCCTTCTGCGCACAGTTGACGTTGACACCAACCTTCCGGTGGCTGCAGCAAGAGAGGATCTAAGATGTGTCGGAGTAGCGGTTCTATTCCTGCGTGCACTTAATGTCAAATATCGGTCATCGGCACTGGTCGTAACAGTTGGCCGTCCTTGACTGAACCTCCTAGATGCCGAATCTGTGGTTTGAAATTGCCTCCAAAGTCTATGAACCACAGATGGACTCACATTTAGCCATCTGGCCACTTCTGATTGACTCTGCCCTGCCTCTAGTCTCCCGATGGCTCTCCATCGTAGTTCTTCAGGCAAATGATGCCTAGAGGTCATTATTACGAATTGGCTATCTCAGATTTTCAATGTCGCAATCACAGTAAAATTTGTGTGCTTTCTCTCAAACTTGGACTTTTATGCTCCAGGCAGATGACGTAAGCCGAGTGCAGCGCCACTAATTTGCATATTGCAATTTTACTCAGCTACTCTTAGTGGACAACATATGCAAATTTTGCACGGTTTGGCTTACTTTTGAAAGAGTTATCGCTATTTTTGTGATTTTTCCTTAATTTATGATAACCAGTGTATGTTGCGTGGAACGAGTTGGAGTTCTCTATATAAGTTGATCAAATGTTGTTAACTAAGTCTGACGTCAAAAACAGAGGAAAGATGACTGGGGTATCTGGGATTACCTACTACAATTCTTTACAGAGCAATGCTATTCTTCTTTATTTACCCACAAATTAAGGCTAAACATTTTAAGAGAAGAATTGTAAAAATGGATCATATGATTCCAAAGTAGCAAGAAACCAAATATGAAGTTAAAAAATTTCTTTAAGAAAAATATCGCATGTGTTCCTGAATTAGAATTATAGCCGGCAATTCCTTTTTTATTGGGAATTTCAGAATGTTTTTTTTTTAATTTTTTTTTTTAAAATGAACTATTTTTTATTCTGTTCACTTCTGTCACTTCACTTTTATTCATTGATCGCTCTGACAAACAACAGTATCTAATAAACAACTATAATAAACAAGGATATTTCACTGTTTTGTGTGAAATAAAAGGACTACGATAACACGCAACATATTCGAAATATTAAATCAATATATCTGTGGTTATACTATATCTATGGCTATTCTGCAGTTTAAAAGAATCTTACAGAAACAAAATTTTTTTTCCCCTTTTTTTAAAATATTGTTAAGATGAAATGTTGCAGTGAGTTATTGTTTGTTCTTTGCACGCGATTTTCTTGCATCAATTTAAAAAAATCTCACAAGTTTCACACATCAATATTTACTTAGGTTGCTTGAATTTTTTTTTTTCAGCTGTTATTATGAAATACCGAAGTTATTGATGTTATTATTATATTGTTTCGAAAATGTTTTATGATACGAAACTTCAGATGATTCGACTTGTAATTCTCTAAATATCCTAAAAATGACTTTAAACTATAAAATATATGTAACTTTTCAAATAAATTAACTAAATATTCGAAATCATTGAAATATTCAATTTTAGGTATCGTGCCAATGTTTTGCGAAGACCTATTTAAAGGAATAGTCGACAGCAAGCATTCTGGGGAAAAAATTGAATTTGAAGTAAGATAATAAAATTTCATTCATAGAATGAAGCTTTTTTTAAATTTTAATAACACAAACATCAGATGAAAGGGGTCATGCATTCTCATTGGAAATATGAATCACATGGTATGATCTAGTTTTCTCATGAGAAGATACAGATTTTTTAGGTTGTCATCAGTATGAAATTAATAAAAGTTATTATGATACTGTTTAGCTAAAAATATTTCTTAAGTCCTACTTTAAATGTAATTACGTGTAATATTTATGTACTATCTTTTCTTAATATTTTCTCCTCTTATTGCGTTGTTTATTTTGATTATTATTTCAAAATAATGACTTTAAAATTAAAAGTGGATTTCATGCCAAAGCTATCATTTACTATATCATTACACAACAGTTTATGACAAAAATATTTAAACCGGTTTCTAAACTTTTTAACCATTTTACAATTATTTAACAGTAAATAAGTTTTCGCAATACAGTAGGGGATTTTGTATGTAAAATATTATATATTACGCTTAGCGTGAGCTTCCTATACCCTAATTCGTTTTTCGATTGTGAAATTGTAAGGAACTCCGTTTAGATTTTTAAATTTTAATTTTCGATAATTGTCAAAATTACAAAAGCAATAATTACAGATAATAACATTACAAGGGGAAAAATACACATTATTGGTAAATACCTTTAAGTTATTGATGAATAAATATTTTACAGGTAATTACCGTAACAAATTTCATTAATTTATTAATTTTATGCTGATGATCGTTAAAGAGATCTGTTTTTTTTTTACAATAAAAAAACATACAATTTTTTTTTCTTTTTTCTAATAAAGCACGAAGTGGTGAAACGGGAATTATATTTTTTATGTTATCTAGATATAAAAATATTTATGAAAGAACTACTATTGTTTATGCATGAAACTCCTTTCCAATATAGGTTCGATTCAGTATGCTGGAAATTTACAACGAAATTGTTCGAGATTTGTTAAATCCAGGCCTAAGTAAGAAAAAAGGATTAAAAGTCAGAGAACATCCAACAAAAGGATTTTTCGGTTAGGAGTTGTCTTTATTCACTAAATATAAAAGTTAAGTTAGTTTTTTTTTCCTTCATCATAACACTATTTATAGGACGATAAAAAATATACAGGAGTTGGACAGAAACTTTTTTATACTAACTCTATGTAAACAATCCTTCTTTTCGAAGTAAATGTTTTGAAAGATTTTACATAGCTAAAATGTTGGTACAATTTGAAAGAAAATGCTTGAACCTTTTTAGAAATGGCGTCCTTTTTATTCATATAAATTCGAATAGACTGAAATGTGAAAAAGGAAGTTAATAACCTCTGTCAAGTTTTAAATGTAATAAATAAAATATTTGTAGACTGATCGTAAGGACACGGTTCCCAGTAGAACACTGAAGTCAAGCGTCACTGGCTGCGGTCAATAAGCTGGTGGGTGACCACTTTGATCAACCTACATAGGGACCGAGGGAGCGGTCCCTATGCTAACTGTTAACTATGCCCTAGTTAAACTGGTCTTCAGCAAAGTGCTGACTTCACACTCAAGTCGTCGGGCTACCAAAGCAGAGAGCCATCCCTTCTGCAGAGGATTAAAATTGTGTAGGCGTGTCTTCGAATCATCCTCAGGGATGTTTCCCAGACCGTCGCCAATAGTCCATTGTGCAGCTATAGTACGACGCATAGAACGAACCTACCTACCTATTTCGTCCAAATCTCGTACTTGTTGAGTGCAATCGAAACAGCTCGGGATTCGTAAAAAAGAGATTATGATAAACTAACAAGAACAAACTTTTAATTATAACATGCAACAAGTATATAGATCTTTAAGATCATCCTAAAAATCAAATTTACTTAATGCTTGCGCATTCTAATCGAATTATATTCATATCAAGAATAAATAGTTATCTAAACATGTCGACTGCCAAAAGAGGTCCAAAACCTAAGAACTGGTGGGGAGTCCACTTACTTTCCAAAATGACCGTCAGCGCCATCTATCAAAAACCTTTTCTACATTTAATATCAGCAATTTTGAAATCATTTGAAAGGATTACAACCTTTATTTAAGACTGCTGTTTTAATTATAGTGGTATTTGGAAAAGAAAAAAAAGCTTTCAACGTTTCATTTTGGTCTGTGTAAATTGTACCAACAGTTTTGTCATGTTCCAAAGCATTTGTTGTTAAAAGAAAGATTGTTTACATAAAGTTAGAACAGAAATATTTCCATATTTTTATCGAACTCCCGAGCAAGTTGTTCTAAATTAGACTGCCGGTTTTAAAAAAATTAGTACAGAAAAGCAGTTGAAGCTAAAAAACGCTTGCAACAAATTAATGCGATAGTGTATAAGTATTACTTGCTAGAATTTCTGTTTTAGATAAAAAAAATTTCCACAGATGGCGTTGTAAGTAGTAAACATATAGGTTAAAGAGAAACAATTGAATATTTCATCAACATTAATGCTCAGAATCTTTCAATGCATGAAAGTGACAATAAAATATTTTAGAAATGTCCCCCATCAGGCGAAATCACACATTAAATTTGGAAAATGAAATATTCATACATAAAGACGCAATGAAAAAACGATGGATAGAACCTAAGCGAACTCTGTCGAAATATTTTTGATCTAAAAAGTAAAACTTTTATTTTATCATTTATTTTATTACAGTCGTTGAACAGCCGACAGACCCAATTTTTTGAGTTTACAACTACTAATGTTTCATAGCCTTGTAATTTTGAAACCAATCCAGAAGACAAGGGAACTCCTATATCAAGTATTGGGAGAAATTTGCTTTCGTGGAGGACTTCTTAATGGAACTAACTCGCATTTGCGTTATATGGAGAGGAAAACAGTGAAACCCTTCCACGGTTAGCCCGACGGCAAGAGGACTCTAACCCGATCTGTCTACCACTGAGATATTTTACGTCAGCACTTTGGTCAGTGCGAGCTAGAGGCGGAATTCGTATCGACTAACTATCGTTCGGATTCGAACCCCGTTCACCTCATTGGAGGACGAACGCTCTATACCCTAAGCAGTCGCCTTCAGAGTAAAAATTTGTGCCTTTTCATCTGAAGTCGTTGCTAGAATTTTATTTTAACTCAATCGTTATAAATTTTTGAAAGCCGTCAGTCTAGTTTAGGTCATCTAAAATATTTCTTTGCTATAAAAATATTAAAGTGCCTTCCTCAAAGTTCACTAATTTTTCTCCTTCGTAGCTGAAGGATTGAGCTCTGCCTTAGTCACAACTTACAAAGATATCGAAACACAACTGGATCTGGGGACCACAAATCGAAGCATAGCATCTACCAACATGAATGCCACAAGCAGGTAAACTCAGATATTTAAAGTGGTCATTTATTTAACTATATATAAAATTTTACCAGGGAAGGATTTTCCTATTATTGCTGTCAAAATTTGCGAACAGACGCTACGATCAAAGTATTATGCAACGATCTAAGTAAATGGAGTCTTTAGAAATCAATAAAATGTTTACTTTTCTAGAGCGTCATTCTATTTATTAGCTACATCGCTAAATAAAAAGAAATTTGACTTTAAATTGGCACACATTATACTTGTCAAATCCGCGTACACTGACAGAAAGTTTAATTAATTTGAAGTTAGTTCTACTACTAGCTTTTGAAATAATTCTACAATAATTGCTTGTAACCTTGTTGAGTACATTGATTTGACATTGATTTAGTTTGTTCAGATGTCTCTTCTGTATTTCTATACTTTTACTATGACAGATTTAAAAATTTTTTTTTCATGCTTCATGATTCTTCTTTCGAGTAAATTCCATAAAAGTAAATTCCATTTAGTTTAAGGTCGGTCTTCGTAAAGAAAGATTTGAGTTAACGTCTGGAGACTGATATAGCTTAAAGAAATGATTCAGCAGGTTTGAAGGCTAAAATGGCATCACAATATACGACACCTACGTAGATTCGCTACCCTGCTGAAAATAAAAATCCATACTCACTTCGAGCTTCTTGGTTCACGTGCTGAGATATTTTTTCAGTATGTTTACATAACCAATATTGTTCATTTTTAAATCAATAAATTCCAGATAACTAAGAACGATTCATTGACTATTAATGAGGAATATCAATCACTTTAAGGTGAAGATATCTTTCAACAAGGAAAAAAAAAAGAAGAAAACAAAAAGTAGCTTTATCCTTACAGTAGCTTTAATGTCAATTTTACGTATTTTCCTATATTTCTATAAATATTTACCATCTAAAGACGGCTGGTCCAGCAGTTGTACCCTAAGTTGTTTTTTGAAAAGTGTTTGATACATGGGATATCTATGGGATGTATACATGGGTTATGGTATCACATAAATCATATCTATATAATTTATGTGATACCATATTTCGTTTGCCTTCAATGTAACATATTTGTCTCAACATGACATAATATAACAAATCAAGTACTTTTATAACAAAAAACAACAACTTAGGATACAACTGTTGTACCAGTAGTTAAAGCAAATTAAAAGATGTTTGAAAGAAAGAATACCTTTCTATGTCTAGCTTTATGCTTAAATTTATACGACACCTTTTTCAAAAAAGTTGGATTCACTAATTATTATATTTATTGATATTTTTATTATTTCCGATAGCCGAGCACATACCATAGTCGGCATAACACTTGTTCAGAAATCAAGGAATATGAAAGGACAGGAAACAGCAAAGACGTCGATGGTGAATCTAGTAGATTTAGCTGGCAGGTAAGTAGATGGAGAACTTTGAATTGTAGATATAGAATAACGTGTAGATATAGAACTGATAAGTAGATGTATGTGTATATATCGAACTTATATAGAATGTAGACATAGAACTTAAATGTAGATATCGAAACACCCAGAAACAGAGAGAGAGAGAGAGGTCTAACCTTGCATATTTTTGTGTTTTTTTCTTCCTTTTTTTCTTCTTATTTGCTTTTGATTTAAAAGAAATAAAAATTTTGAAGAAAAATACTTAGAAAGTCTATACAATACTATAGCTCTTTTTTTTAAATACTAATTTACGCTTTTTTTTCGTAAGATTCAAGAATGAAAACGCTATGTAACAAAAGTTCTTGTAGAAAAAAATGCACGATACATATTAGTTTTAAGCAGAGCTAATGACGATGTAAAAATATGACGATGTATCGAAATAATCGCTGTACATATGCTTTCTTTTACTGAATAATAATATAATAAGTATGGTGTGACATTAGGTCACAGCCTAATTTAT